GGGGGCAGCCCCCGGCTAGGGAGATGGCAGCCGGCCGCCCCTTGTCAAGGGATGGGAGATGCCAGGCCGGAAAGCAGGCGTGTTACTCGAGCAGGTCAAAAACTGACAGTAACACGGGAGTGGAAAAATAGTCGCTGGTTCTTCTTCTGGTGTCTCGCTCGATGTGCTGCACGCCGTTTGGAAGCGAAAGAATCCTTCGAAGCCTTCTGGCGATTCCTGTTTAAAAAGATGGCTCTTTGGAAGGGATTAATTCATGGAGGGCACACTGGGAGAGCTGCTCCAGATGCAAGAGTGGCGTCTCTCCACACAGAGCACGCTTTGTACATGCGACTGGCCCCGCTGGGACCCCGGGACTGTCCACATACGTATCTCTTTATAAGACCCCACACCTCACGTCTTTCTCTTTTCTTTTTATCTCGATTATTTTCCTGTGTCATCGTGTACATTTTTGACCCCTAGAAGATAGCCATTTTCCTTTCATCTTCTAGCTTTGTCTTCTTTCTCTATCTCAACATAAGAGGAAAAACCTTTTGCTTCTGAGTTAGGCAGTACCTCCATGGTTTCCTTTGCTGTGATTCCACAGCAACGTAGGCTTTCACACTCTTTTCTTTTTATCTCGATTATTTTCCTGTGTCATCGTGTACATTTTTGACCCCTAGAAGATAGCCATTTTCCTTTCATCTTCTAGCTTTGTCTTCTTTCTCTATCTCAACATAAGAGGAAAAACCTTTTGCTTCTGAGTTAGGCAGTACCTCCATGGTTTCCTTTGCTGTGATTCCACAGCAACGTAGGCTTTCACAGCTGGGTTTTTTTTTGTTTTTTTTTTTTGTACGTTTTCAGCCAGCGCACTGCATGATTGCATGAGAGGCAGAGCTGACTCAGTCAGATTGTACAGCCGGGCATGGGAAACGGCTGTGAAAAGAGTAAGGCCACAGCGACCCTCTTTAGATTGTTTGAAGTGTTGCAAAGTTGCTTCCTCTTCACAACGATTAAACCAGAATCTGTGTCTGTGGGGTTTATCTGGTCATTTATTGAAATATGTGAAAAACTCCTTTTTAATTGAAGAGATACAAATAAATTCTTTTTTTAAAAGAAAATATTTCTCTTGTGTTACACAGAATGCAGCGCAGATTTGTATTTTATAGAAAAGCATAGTCAGCAGTATAATTAGCATCCTCATTGGCCAGCTGAATCTGACCCACTGGTAATTCTTTCCACGTTACGTTTTGTTTTCTTTCTTAAATTATATATTTAGATTTAATTATATACTATTACATAACAGTTCCCAGCTTGTAAGTTTCAGGTCAGTCTAGAGTCAAGATGTGCTATGCCTGGATCTGTGACGGCAGCAAGCGTGGCCACAATGTAATAGCACCTGTCTTCGTGCTTAAATTTTGAAAATGGCTCATTTGCAAATGGCCAATTGTTGAGAAGAAATTTTTTATTTCAACTCGGGATGGAAGTTGGTGGACTTGGTTTTGAGCAACGTACTTTATGGACTGAAGAGATTATGATCCAAAAACAGAGTGTGGAAGAAAATGGTTGTTTGTGGATTTTTCTGTTTTCCTGATGCCTGTTTGTCTGCCTAGTTCTAGTTCTGAACAGTTCTAAATACGTTTACCTTGTTGTTTACATTTTTATTGTGCACATATAACTTGTGCAGACATACTGGTAGGATTGTATATGTATCCCTTTTGCATATGACTAAGCGAGTTTCTGTGTTTCCATGACATACCTGTGGTTTCGGAGTATGTAACTGTGAAGATGTGATCCATGAAGCGTGCTATTTTGATTGAAGTGAAAGGTTGGCTTGCTGAGGAAGATCCAAGATAAAGCATTTCCCAGGCGTTCAGGGGCGTAAATTAGGCAGGGAAGTTTCACTCTTCTTTTGGGGAAAG